AAGCAATCCTTTGTGTTGTCTGGCGGGAAAGCGTCGGCAAAACATATTTCTGGGCTTTTAGCACATATCTGTTATCAACCTTTTCAATCATACAACATATATACTACTCTAGTACAGGGACAACCACCTATCGCATTAAAAACATACTCCTCACATTATGCCCCAGGGCTCGGCCTATAGACTCGCAAGCAACTCCACAGCGGCTAATCGTATGGGCAGAATGACATTAACTTATCGTAAAGGGTCTACAGACACCTTCGAAAGCCTTCAAAACTGCTGATACTTGATAAGATTGTGATCACGCCTGACTTAGCCGGCCTCAGTGATGTCACGGCCGGTACCTCTTCAGGCCTGACGATTAGTGGTAGCGGATGTTGGAAGTTCCACCCATTCTCTTTTCTATCGACAGAGACCGAAACCAGAACGTCGAAGAACCGCTTCCATGTCTTGACTTACGGAATTTTATAAGGTAGTCGGTGCGCTAGATCACAGTCCTCCGCGCCCTGGTACCATTTTCGCTGCTGATCCGCGACTGCTTATTCGCCGGACTTAGGAGCCTGCTTATATGGCAGCTGACCCTCGCTAAAGTCCGTTCCACTATCCGCCACCTGTGGACGCACCAGGTAGCCGGCAGCTAGACTCTAAAGCACGTGGCCCTAAAGCTGACGTTGGTATGCGGCGATTATATCACCACTGCCTTCTCCAGAAATGCTGTCTCTGGTCAAGATGGCTGTCTGCCCTATTAGTTTGTTATTTTGCGTCATTTAGATCTCAGTGCCTTCTATTTTCCAGTACTCACGGTAGTAATTCGTCGATCAGCCTATCTCCAGCTTCTACCACCCTAGTATCCTTTTAGACGTGAAAGTCTCTTTTGAGTACCGACCCTAAGCCAGAGTGATAGTCAGTTCATTCTGGTTCATTTTGTTTTAATTTTGTAGTCCTCATAGCCTTAATATTCTCCGGTTCCGTTGGTCTACTTTTATCCTGTGTTGTATTTTTTGTTGATCACAAAGTAATAAACGAAAAAGCAGCAACCTGAGTTTTCCAAAAAAAAAACTATAATACGCTTTGTTCGTGATAACAAAATTCCAACTACTATTTATTTGTTGGGAGTCTTGACCTGACTACTTAGCGCTTTCTGAATACACAGACAATGACACTGGAGTCTCTCCCTTTGTTTCACTGAAGTTCCACATTCAACCAAGGGCAGTAGAACTCCAGTTGAATTTTTCATATTCCTGTCTGTCAAACTTGCTTTCGGTTAATCGTGGCTGTCTCATTTAATACATTCTATCACTGTTCAGTAAGGGTAGATAATTTTTGCCCTACGTGAGCTACGCGACATTCGTAGC